TTGGTTGCAGCCGTCATTGTTGTTTGGCAGGCCTGGGCTAGATTCGAACCCGCCACCTTAGGTGTATATGGCTGGCGCCTTAGCCGCTTGAGCCACAGGTGCCGAGCCAGAGACGGGGTCTTGTTCTTGTTCAGGCAGCTCTCAAAATCCTGAGCTCAAGCAGTCCACCCACCTAGAGTATTGCCTCCTAGAGTATTAGGATTACAGGAGTGAGCCGCCACGCCTGGCCTCAGCACTCTTTTATAAGAACATTTAAAAAGCCAGGCACACTGGCTCACACCTGTAATCACAGCACTATGGGAGACTGAGGCAGGAGGATTGCTTGAGCTCAGGAGTTTGAGGCTTATCTGAGTGAGAGTGAGACCCTGACTCATGAAAAAAATGGAAAAACACAGCTGGGTACCATGGACAAGTGCCTGTAATCCCAGCAGCTTCAAAGGCTGAGGTTGCAGTGAGGTACAATGCCATTGCATTCTGCTCAGGGCATAGGATAATACTCTTGTCTCAACAACTACAACAACAAAAAGAACACTTAAAAAGTTAGTAGATTTAGAACATACCTCAAAATTATAAATGCCATATATAATAAACTTATAACCAACATCATATTGAACATGGAAATATTAAAAGCATTCTCGCTTAGAACTAGAAGCAGACAAGGTTGCCCATTTTCACCACTTCATGGTACTAGAAGTCCTAGCCAGAGCAATCAGGCAAGAGAAGGAAATCAAGGGTATTCAAATGTGGGAAGTGGTGGTCAAACTATCACTCTTTGTTGACAATATGATCTTATATATAGAAAACCCCTGGCTCAGCGCCTATAGCTCAACAACTAGGGCGCCAGCCACATGCACCAGAGCTGGTAGATTCAAACCCAGCCCAGGCATGCCAAACAACAATGACAACTACAGCCAAAAAATAGTCGGGCGTTGTGGTGGGTGTCTATAATCCCAGCTACGTGGGAGGCTGAGGCAAGAGAATCACTTAAGCCCAAGAGTTTGAGGTTGCTATGAGCTGTGATGTCATGGCACTCTACCAAGAGTGACATAGTGAGACTCTGTCTCAAAAAAATAAAAAAGAAAAGAAAACCCCAAAGATTAAACCAAAACACTCCTGAAATTCATAAATGAATTCAGCACAGTCTCAGGTTACAATATCACTGTACACAACTCAGCTTTCATATATACCAACAATAGTTAAGCTGTGAATCAAAGATGTGATACCTTTCACAACAGCAACAAAGAAAATAAAATACCTAGGAATATATTTAATGAAGGACATTAAAGACCTCTATAGGGAGAACTATGAAACACTGAGGAAAGACGTAGAAGATGTAAACAGATGGAAAAACATATCATGCTCATGGATCAGCAGAAACTACATTGTTAAAATGACTATACTACCTGAAGTGATTTACAGATTCAACACAATCCTCATTAAAATACCAATGCCATTGTTTCAGATCTAAAAACTTTTTTTTTTTTTTTTAATGAGAGAAAAAGAAAACAAGGACAGGCTGGAAATTTTCAGTGTGTTAGGCTGAGCTACACTATAGTAGCAAGCCCCAGACAGCAGTGACTTCACACAGTGGGCTATGCTCCGTGTAGTCAGCTGCACTGTGTGGGTCCTCTGGGTGGCAGTTTACTGATCTACCTCTGTGGCTCCACAGTCTTGGTCTCTGCAGCAGGGGAAGAGCTGGGAAGGCCCTGTGACAGCTCTGTGGTGCTTCAGTTTGGAAGTGACATATCACTGTGCTCACAGCCTATCTCCAGAACTAGTCATGGCGCCCTCCCTAACTCCAAGGGGATGTGAGAGCCAGGAAGTGTTTGCAGAAGGCCAAGGTCTCTGACCATCTCCATATGGCACAGACCCATAGACCTTATGTGTTTAGGCAGCCTGATTGAGACGTGAGGTAGAGTGAAAAACTGCCCTCAATTAAACTTTCATCTTTGGCCTGTCTCTTCAACTTAGAATAAGATGGTTTATAACCAAAGTATATCTTTAAGTAGGCTTTTACATTCTAAAAAGATGTCCACCTTACAATATGAACTGCATTTTCAATATTGGCAGTGTTGCTATTTACTGCTAACTGGAGATGCTGGCCAAAGTGGTTTTGTCACTATGTGACTCTGTTAGCATGATCACCAGTACCTGGAGTTCCTCTTAGGAAAGGTCAAAGATTCCGATGTGGGACCAGGTGTCACGCCTTTAATCCTAGCACTCTGGAAGGGCATGGTGGGTGGATTGCCTGAGCTCACAGGTTCAAGACCAACCTGAGCCAGAATGAGACCTCGTCTTTAAAAATAGCCAGGCGTTGTGGCGGGCACCTGTGGCCCCTGCTACTTGGAAGGCTGAGGCAGGAGAATCACCCCCAAGAGTCTGAGGTTGCTGTGAGCTGTGATGTGACAGCACTCGGTTACCAAGAGTCTCAAAAAAAAAAAAAATTCCGGGTGACGTCTGTGGCTCAAAGGAGTAAGGCGCAGGCTGCATATGCCGGAGGTAGCAGGTTCAAACCCAGCCCCCACCAAAAACTGCAAAACAAAAAAAAATTCCAATGTGAAATAATTTTTATTTATTTTTAATTAATTAATTTTTTTGAGACAGCATTTCACTGGGTCTCTGGGTTGAGTACCATGGGGTCATAACTCATAGCAACCTCAAACTCCTGGACTCAAGAGATCCTCTGCATCAGTTTTTCTATTTTTTAGTAGAGACAGGGTCTTGATCTTGCTCAGGCTGGTCTTGAACTCCTAAGCTCAAGCAACCTGTTTAAGCAATTCTCCTGGCTCAGCCTTCTGAGTAGCAGGCACTACAGGCAGCCACCATAATGCTGGGCTAATTACTTTTTTCTATTTTTGGTAGAGACAGGGTCTTGTTCTTGCTCAGGTTGATCTCTAACTCCTCACCTCAAGGGATCTGTTCACCTTGTCCTACCAGAGTGCTGGGATTACAGATATGAACCATCATACCTGGCCCATGAAATAATTTTAAATTAGCATTTGTTTCAGCTGTTTCTGGAGTTTACTGCTGAAGTGAAGGTATTTTATTTTGATCTGTATAGATCTTTTCATATGTAATATAAGAATTCCAGGAGTTCTTTTGTGTTATTTTAAGATTTATTTTCCAGGAGCATAGATCATAGTTGTGCTGAATATATACTCCTTCTAGGGTGTCCCTAGTAAGACATCTGTGCAAGATCAAGGAAGGAGAAAAATACAATTAATTTTAGTATAAAAGAAATCATTGTTTTTAGGAAATGCAGAAAGGAATAATAATTTTTTGTGTAGTGGTGCATTGGTAGGTTTCAGTTGATATCATAACTGAAGGCATGATGAGATTGCCACATGGCAGAATCATGCCTGCATGTTTTGGTACACTCCCAGGGGCTGTCATCTGACATCAGCATCACCTGTGGGAAGGCAGTGCCTCTGGATTCACGGCATGAGCATGCAGCCAGCCTTGTGGAGGTGTCTTACCCACACTCCATCCTCAGGCAGCACCACCAGCTAATGTAACTGTACACCTTTTTTTCTGTGCTTGAAATTCAAAATTAAAAACTTTTCATCAAAACACACTGTTAAATAATTGAAAAAGCAAGCTACAGACTAGATTCACAGTACATGCATCTGATAAAAGACTAGCAATTTGATCTTGGGCAAATCTCTTCATGAATGAATGCCAGTGGCTTCCTGTGTGAACTGGGATGATATCTGTGCATCATTGTTGTGAAATTTGAAATGAGGACATAAAGAACTTGCTGAGAGCCTGTCCTCCAGCACTCTAGTAACGATCAACTACTGCTTTTTTGCCAGATAGACTATTAGCAAATGTAATCTCTTTTATTAAAAGGTGTACTTTGCATTTCCTTTCCTCTTATAATCAGTTTAATTAACAAAATGAAATATAAAAATAAAAATGAAGATTCTTTGTCTTAGATAATCTTAATTTTATGGGTTTTGGAGGTTTTTTTGAGACAAAGTTTCACTCTGTTACTCTGTGTAGAATGTAGAATGCCCTGGTGTCATCATAGCTCACAGCAGCATCAAACTCAAGTGATTCTCTTCCCTAAACGTCTCTGGTGCTTGCCACAATACCTGACTAGTTTTTTCTATTTTTATTTTTGTTTAGCAGGCCCAGGCCAGGTTCAAACCCGCCACCCCCGGGGTACAGCGCTCTAACCATTGGTTTATTTTTTTGGTTTGTTTGTTTTTTTAGTAGAAACAGGGTCTGGCACTCCTGAGCTCAGGTGAACCGGCTCCTACCCCTCACTCCTGCCTTGACCTCCCAGAACACTAGGATTATAGGTGTGAGCTGCCACTCCTAGCCTTTCTTAATTCTAATTAAGATCAAGATTATCTATAAATAGGAATTTCCTCTTCCCAAATCTAGAATTCACTGGCAATGGTTATATGTCTAATGAAGCTGACATTGGTACCCACACTGAGATACAAATCCCAGGGTACTTTGCTTTAGCCTAGAAGGGACACCATGTGGTGCCTGGCAGGTGGCAGGACGGCCAGAGGCCTTCAGCACTCTGGGAGGCTGAGGCAAGGGGATTGCTTGAGCTCAGGAGTTCCAGACCAGCCTCAGCAAGAATAAGACCCCATCTCCACTAAAAATAGAAAACCAGCCAGCTGTCAAGGCGCCTGGTACCTACCTATAGTCCCAGCTACTTGGGAGCCTGTGGCAAGAGGTTATCTGGAACCCAGGAGTTCGAAGTTGCTGTGAGCTATGATAATACCTTGGCACTCTCCCCAGGATGACAGAGTAAAACTCTGTCTCAAAAAAAAATTTTTTAAATAATAAATCTCAGCCCGTTCAAGTACACACACCCAATGTGGATAGACTAAAATAGATAGATGACTCAGCATCAGAGGTCAACTGAAAGTACACCCTCATCTCTTTCTTTGAAGGATAAAAATCAAAGTTCATAGATTAAATGAAAACTTAGTCATTGTACAAATATAATTATAGTGTGTGTACTTTTTCTTTGTCTACAGGAGCTATAAAACTGACAAGCTTGGCATGTGGAAATCAGCACATCTGGGCCTGTGATTCCAAGGGTGGAGTTTATTTCCGGGTAGGAACCCAGCCTTTAAATCCCAGTCTGATGCTTCCTGCCTGGATAATGATTGAGCCACCTGTGCAGGTAAGCAGTGGTAACTGGTGGAAACTTGCTCCTCAGTGAGACAGAAGCTGTTAAAATGCTGTTACTAGTGAAAAGGACCACAGCTGCCTCTACAGGCCACCCCGTATGGAGGAAGGGGCATGTCCCCAGGGTCAACACACTCTCTGTCTTTGTCATCTTTAGCATGGAATTTGATATTTGTGAAGTTTAGAGTTGAACAGATTATTAAATATTATCTGAGCCAGCACTTAAGTTTTCCCCTTCCAAACTAAAAATATTTTGTTTCTGACTTTTTACAGAATGAACACTTTTTTTTAAAGTGCTCAAAAATACAAAGAAGAAAGTAAAGGTCACTTAAAATCTAGTCACAGAAATGCTCTCTCCAGCGTTTTTGGAGTGCCTTCTCTGGTTTGTTGAAGAAATTCTATTTCCCGTCCACCCACCCCTGCCTGACTTCTGCCATATTTTAGTTGAGAGTATTCTAACGTTCGGTGTTTTTGTTCTCTTGCCTATTTCACCACCCAAATCACAAGTTGATGTTTGATTTTCGCATACTATTTAGTTATCCCTAAAGTTTTAGTAGGCTTGGTTCCTGTACTAAGTATATTTCTGTTAAAATTTATAATTAGGGCCTGTGATTTAGTGAGTTATTTCTTCAGACCCCTGGTGATCCCGAGCTTGTGACTTAGTTGGAAAAGACATGAAGTTGCCCTATGTGAAGGTTGGTATGGGGAGAGTGGTTAGTCCTTGAACAGAGGACCCTTAAGTAGAGTCAGAAAAGAAATCAAGAGTTTGAGGAAATGCCTTTGTTTGTGACCATCTGCATTCTAGGCATTTGTGAGCCCACAGGGATAAGGTGGCTGAGATGTAGGACAAAGGGCAGGGGTGGTTCCAAAGACACCAGTGCTGCCCATCAGACTGGGCAGTGTGCTGAGAGACCCTGACTGAGATTAGGAGTCTGGTCCTGAGTTCTGTGGCAGTTCCATGGATGTTAGTATTATGGCCATAAGAAGGCTTTGTGTCCTGATGGGGTGGCTCTTCCTCCTTTCCAGGGATATGGGGACGGAAAGGTCTGTGACCTTTATGAACTGTAAAGTACTCTGCACAAGAGCTGGGCGAGGTGTACATGCCTGTAATCCTAGCACTCTGGGAGGCTGAAGCAGGTGGATTGCTTCAAGACTAGTCTGAGCCAGAGCAAGACCTCATCTCTAAAAATAGCTGGGCATTGTGGCAGGTGCCTGTAGTCCCAGCTACTCGGGAGGCTGAGGCAAGAGAATTGCCTAAAGCCCAGGAGTTGGAGGTTGCTGTGAGCTGTGTGACATCACAGCACTCTACGGAGGGTGATAAAGTAAGACTCTGTCTCTACAAAAAAAAAAAAATTGCTTGAGTCCAAGAGTTTGAGGTTGCTGTGAGCTGTGACGCAATGGCACTCTACTGAGGGTAACAAAGTGAGACTCTGCCTGTAAAAAATAAATAAAGGAAGGAAGGAAGGAAGAAAGGGGGAAGGAGGGAGGGGAGGAAGGAAGGAAGGAGGGAAGGAAAGAAGGAAGGAAGGGGAGGAAGGACTCTGCAAACATGAGGTTATACATAATGAATTATGATATAATGTTCTGTTTTTCCTCTGCACACATTGGCATGTTAAGAGTGGCACGCTTGGCTCGGCGCCTATAGCTCAACCGGCTAAGGTGCCAGCCACGTACACCTAAGGTGGCGGGTTCGAATCCCCAGCCCAGACCCGCCAAAACAACAATGACAGCTGCAACCAAAAAATAGCCGGGCGTTGTGGCGGGCGACTGTGGTCCCAGCTACTTGGGAGGCGGAGACAGGAGACTCGCTTGAGCCCAGGAGTTGGAGGTTGCTGTGAGCTGTGATGCCATGGTACTCTACCCAGGGTGACAGTTTGAGGCTCTGTCTCAAAAAAAGAAGAAAAAAAGAGTGGCACACTGGGAACAGTCCACCCTGCAGGGAGAATATTTATCACTGACATTGTTCAGCATAGCTGGGGGCCAGTGATAATGAAAAGTAAAGCTGATTTACAGTTAGTTTCATTATTGTTCTTGTACTCTCTTGGTGCCTCCAGCCAAGTGGACTCTTTTTGTACATCACTGTCAACATACTCCTTTTTTCTTCTAACAACTTTGTATTATTTCTTTGAAGAGTTATAATCCACATGCCATAAAAATGTACCTTTTTACAATATATAAGTCAGTGGTTTTTAGTATCTTCCCAAAGTTGTACAATAATCACCATTATCCAATTCCAGAGCATTTTTATCACTCCCAGTAAAACCCCTTACCCATTTATAGTCACTCCCTTTTCTTAAAGAATCTTCAATCTCAAAGAGTCAACCACTGATTTTTCTATTTGTATAGCTTTTTCTATTTTTACATTTTATGTTAATTGTACCATATAATATGTGACGTTTTTGTGTAAGATTTTTCACTTAGTATCATGTTTTCAGAGTCCACCAATGTTGTAGCTTGTATCAGTTCATCATTCCTTTTTATGACTGAATAACATGCTACCTTATAGATAGACCACATTTTGTTTTTCTATTTGTCAGTTGGTAGAAATCGGAATTGTTTCTACGTTTTGACTACTATGAATAATGCTGCTGCGAACATTTGTGTACAAGTCTTTGTGAAAAAATATGGATTTGCTTCTATTGGCTATATCCCTATAAGTGGAATTACAGGGTCATATGTTGATTGTATACTTAACTTTCAGGAGACAAGGTTTTACTCTGTTATGTGGGATAGAGTGCAGTGATGTCATGATAGCTCACTGCAACCTCACTCTCGACAGCTCAAGTGATCCTCCTGCCAAAGCCTCCCAAGTAGCTGAGATTATAGGCACCTGCCACAATGCATGGCTAATTTTTTTATTTTTAGTAGAGACAGAGTCTCCCTCTTGCTTGGGCTGATCTCAAACTCATTAGCTCACGTAATGTTCCCACCTCAGTCTCTCAAAGTGCTAGGATTGCAAGTATGAGCCACAGTACTCAGCTGTTTTGTCCAGTTTTTTATTCTAGTCATCCTGGTAGGTATAGAGTAAGACAGACTTACTCTGTTGCCCTGGGTAGAGTGCCGTGGCATCACAGCTCACAGCAATCTCAAATTCCTGGGCTCAAGTGATCCTCTTGCTTCAGCCTCCCAAGTAGCTGGGACTGCAGGCACCCACCATTTATTTATTTATTTATTCATTCATTCATTCATTCATTCATTCATTTGAGGCAGAGTCTCAAGCTATCACCCTGGGTAGAGCACCATGGCATCATCATAGCTCACAACAACCTCCAACTCTTAGGCTCAAGCAATCCTCTTGCTTCAGTCTTTCTATTTTTAGCAGAGTCAAGGTCTCACTCTTGCTCAGGCTGGTCTCCAACTCATGTGCTCAAGCATCCACCCATCTTAGCCTCCCAGAGTGCTAGGATTATAGGAGTGAACCACTGCACTTTCTATTTAGTAGAGATGGAATCTTGTTCTTAATCAGGCTGGTCTTGAACTGCTGAGCCCAAGCAATCTGCCTGCCGTGGCCCAGGTGCTAGGATTACAGGTGTGAACCACCTCACCTGGCCCATAGTATTTTCTCATAGTCTTTTATTTATTTCCATAGGGTTGGTAGTAATGTCCTCTCTTTCATTTCTGATTTTTTTTTTTTTTGAGACAGAGCCTCAAGCTATCCCCCTGGGTAGAGTGCCGTGGCATCACAGCTCACAGCAACCTCCCACTCCTGGGCTCAAGCAAGTCTCCTGCCTCAGCCTCCCAAGTAGCTAGGACCACAGGCGCCCGCCACAACACCTGGCTAGTTTTTTTGGTTGCAGCCGTCATTGTTGTTTGGCGGGCCTGGGCTGAATTCGAACCTGCCACCTTAGGTGTATGTGGCTGGCGCCTTAGCCACTTGAGCCACAGGCACCGAGCCTCATTTCTGATTTTAATAATTTAAATATTCTTTCTCTTTTTTAATTTATTTTTATTTTGTGTCTTGCATGTTAGTGAGGCAGGTCTCAAACTCCTGGTCTCAAGCAGTCCTCCTGCCTCAGCTCCTCAAAGCTTTCTTTTTGCCTTAACCAATGTAACTAAATGTTTGTTAATGTTATTGATCTTTTCAAAACACCTCCTTTTGGTTTTGTTCATTTTCTCTATTGTTTTCCTAATTTCTATTTCAGCTATTTCCTCTAAACTCTAATCTCTATTATTTCTTCCACACATTCTTGTGCACAGTGCTTTGCTGATAGTGTTGTTACTCTGGTAGCTCCAAGCAGTGTTCTTTATAGTTAGCTGGTGTCTTCAGTAGCATTGGGTTGTAAAGCTTGTAGGACCTCCACATGGAACCAGCCAGAGTCAGTAAAGGGATACTGAGTGCGAGAGCAAGGTTTGCAGTACTTGTTATAGCAAAGAATATTATCAAGTGACTCACCTCATCCTTTCCCAGTGAGCCACAGGCCAGGATGTGGGAGAGTGGGACTGGCAGAGAGCAGCCAGGCTTGGAGCTGGAGCTGCCTGTGCCTCTGCTTGCTGCACACCTACAGCCACGGGCCACACGGGCACCTGCCAGTGGGGTTACATTGAGTACCACCTAAAACCACTATTCCCAATCCTGTCTCCATATGGATTCTAGAATAATCTCTAGGAAGCAAAGCTAGAATGAGGGGGAAAAGCTTTACTTAGCATGCGTTATTGACTATGGCAATCAACTGCTTTGCCCAGAAAAATGGCCAAAATAGAACAAATTCACATGAAAAGACCTCAAAGCTGTGCTCTGAATAAAGTAGTGATTGCTCAATGGACTGTTAAACATTAACTATTTCTGGTAGTTCTGCTGAATGGAGCCACATTTTCTCATTCAGTTAGCCTTTAGTGTGCTACAGAAGAAATTTACTTTGCCCATCCATTCTGTAGATACAAAATACTTTTCAAATTGGCTCCCATGGGAAAAATAAAATCAGTCTTTATATATGCACAGGCCTTTGTACTGGGCTTTTCTAAGCACTGCCCTGTCCTTAACCCTTTTTTATCTTG